GGTAGCATTCCCCATCCTCCCCTTCCCCTCGAGTGATGCCTTGACTCTGCTCCCCATCTCAGGAATTTCATACCTATGAGGAACCAGAGAGTAGTGCCCTTGTAAGCACTCGCAGCGTGCCCTATTGCTTGTATAATCAACCCTATTTTCAGGTGTGGAAACCGAGGCTCAGAGGGGTTAGCAAAAATCCCAGGACTACTAAAGGGAGGGAGGTCACGCTGATCTGACATAACACCTGTAATCTCAACACTCAGAAGGCTGAGGCAGGAGGACCACCAGTTCAAGGCCAGCATGAATTACACAGTGAGTTTTAGGCCAGCCTGAGCTGTATAACGAGACGCTGTCTTAAAATCCAAAAAGAAAAGAAAAGCAAAAAGATGCCACCATGTGGGAGTTAGGTCTGAGTGGCTTCTGGCTTGCCTTTCTTTCAGTGACTTCACTTGACTTTCCTTCAGAGGCTGTCCCAGCCACTCATTTCAACGTGTCCTGATATATCATCCTGGGACGCAGACCCCAGGATTAAGAAGGTCTTCATTGTCCTTAACCCCAGTCCTCTAAAAACCTCTGGGACCTCATGAACATTAGGCATGGTAAAAGTATTTTCCTTTAATGAGAGGGGGAAGGGCCAGGACGTCATGATGGTCAGAGAGAAGAAAAGAAGAAAACACCTTGTCCCCAAGAAGGATCAGGAATGGAGAATCTGACCTCTAACTTGAGTTCAGTGAACTGGAGATAAAAGTGTGTGCATGTGTGCGTGCATGTGTGTATATGTGTGTATGTGTGTATGTGCGTGTGTGTGTGTGTATGTGTATGTATGATGGGATGTATAATTAGGGAGCAATACCAAATCTACTTCCAAGATCAGCCTTGCCTGCTCATGGTCAATGTCACACACACACAAAGCAACCAAAACAGGGAGAGTACATCCACTTTATACCCAAGGGACTTTCAAACACATCACAGTAGCAGGCACTAGGCTCGGCACAGTGACAGACTTTTCTGGCTGAAATCTGCACCAATGGATTCCTGAAGGCTAGTACAAACCACACAAATGGAGAAAACCCAGGCCACAACAGCTGTGGGGGGCAGGCACACCTGGGTCCTGGTACTGATACTCTCTGCTTCCGTACATTCCCCCACCCTAGATCCCCCATCTTTTATGAAGTTGGTGCAAGGTTACCCAAGATTAGTTCCTGCCACACTCTGGGCAGGAGTGGGATGTCCTGTTTTATGAAACAGCATGCTGAGGACTTGCTAGGTTTTCTTCAAATATCCTGACTTGGCAAAATACAAGATTATCAACCCCACAATTCCTCCACTAGTCTGTGAAATGTACATCGGCTAGAGCCCTTAATTAAATCTCTACCATGGACTTTCGGCTGGGGGAGGGGAAGTGTAGAGACTGAGTCAAGATATTACATGCCTCCGCCCCTGCATGTGAGGGAAGCCAGGCCCCATGAGGAAGGGGGCCCTATCTTTTTGATAGGTAAGCGATGCCCAGTTATTCAGATCCATCTTTTCCAGCACTATCTTTTCTGCTGTCTTTCCACACCTTGGCCAGAACTCAAGAGAACAGCCTGGAATCTTAATGCATGCTAATGAAAGCAGTAGACTCGTAAACTAGCAGCATCGAATTTTCACAAAAATCCAAGGATCTATGACAGAGAGGGACCGGGAGAGAGCGGATTCCTCTCACACAGACATCTTGAGCCTCCACGTTTGTTTATCTATAATTGCTGTGCAAGTATAAATTAAAACAACAAATGCATCCTGCCTGGCAATGGTGACACGGAGCCCTGTAAATAATTATCATTTAATCTTATAGCAAAGAGTTCTGAACGACTCCCCTAACGATTTCCTCTGTTCAATTCCTGTCCTACTGAGTGACTTAATAGGAAAAGAGATATCTTTCAGATTGGTTTCAGTCCAGAAGTTTGGACAATGAACAAAGCCATAGCTGGGGGTGGGGAAGAAGCTGCAGGAAACCATTTGGCTTTAGCCCATGGATAAACAAATGAGTCAAACAGATCTAAAGATTGGGAGGAGAGGGAGCTTGTATGGTTATTGATGTGTGTGTGTGTGTGTGTGTGTGTGTGTGTGTGTGTGTGTGTGTGTGTGTGTGTGAGAGAGAGAGAGAGAGAGAGAGAGAGAGAGAGAGAGAGAGAGAAAACATGCGCACGCTCACGTATGTGTACTCCTGCACCAGTTCTGGGGCTTGAACTCAGGACCTAGGCATTATCCCTGAGCTTTTTCGCTCAACCACTTGAACTATACCTCTACTTTGGCTTTTTGTTGGTTAACTGCAGATAAGAGTCTCATTGACTTTTCTGCCCAGGCTTGCTTTGAACCATGATCCTCAGATCTCAGTCTCCTGAGAAGCTAGAATTATAGGTGTGAGTCACCAGTCCCTGGTATGGGTTATTGATTGTTGCATCTATTTATAGGAAGACAAGACTCGGGCATAATCTAATAAGAGACCAGGCCTCTGTGTTCTGAAGAAGTGCTATACAACCATGAGGAGTATCTCAGACCTAACATGCTGTGGTGGGCAGTCTCAACTAGAAGACAGGCTTGGGACTGGGACTAACCTGGGGTAGAACCCCAACTCTGTTCCTTCCCAGCTGTGTGACCTCAGTTAATAACATAACATGTTAAATTAAAAATACACAATGAACAGCAAGGTGCTGATGGCTGACACCTATAATACTGGCTACTCAGGAGGCTGAGATCTGAGGATCACAGTTTGAAGCCAACCAAGGAAGGAAAGTCTGTGAGGCTCTTATTTCCACTAAACTACCAAAAATGCCAGAAGTAAAGCCATGGTTCAAATTGTAGAGCACTAGCTTTGAGCAAAAGAAGCTTAAGGATACTGCTCAAGCCCTGAGTTCAAACCAGGTCTAGCACAAGGAAAACAAGACGAAGCTGAGTACAGTGGCTCAGATTATATAGTCCCAGCTACACAGGGGGCTGAGATGGGGAGGATCATGGGCCTGAGACTAGCCCAGGCAAAAAGTTCACACTTCTTAACCAATAACTGGACACAGTGCTGTATACCTGTCATTCCAGATATGTGGGAGGCTGAGATTAGGAGGACTATAGCTCTAGACCAGCGAAGACAAAAATGTTCACAAGAATCCATCTCAATGAAAGAAACTGGGTGTGGCAGCATATTCCTGTTATTCCAGCTTTTGTAGGAGTCTTACAATTGGAGGATCATAGTCCAGGTGCCATTCTCAGCAAAAATAATGAAATAACAGTACACAAAAGGTCTGGGAGTATGGGTCAAGTGGTATGATAATACATCTGCTTAACAAGCGTGAGACCCTGAGTTTAAACCCCCTAGTACTACAAAACAAAACAAAATCTATCACACCACCACCAACAGAAACATAGAGACAGCAGGTATATTGACTCTAACGTTGTACTATTAAAATATCTAAATATAATGTATATAAACAGCCAGCTAGCTTGACATTTGACCAAGCCAACACACACACACACACACACACACACACACACACACACACACACACACACACACACACAAGGCCAAAAGGGAGTACAATGGGACTTTAAAAATGTTGGTGTTCATTCCACCTTTGCACATTTTCCATACATCCTCCAAGCAGCCCTCCAGAAAATTGATATTTTACACAAAATGGCCACGCCTGAGGGTCTGCAGGCTTGGCCTTACAGCTCATGAGGATTAGCGAGCAGTGAAAGTCCCCTGCCACCAACCCAATGCTTAGCTGGAGTCACTGGTGCTTATGGAACAGCAGGGTTTATGGATCAGAGCAAGACCTCAGCTTCCTGGGTTCCTTGCATAGTCACTGAGCCAATGAATTCTGGACAGCAGGTCTCCTGACTCTGGGTCCAGTCACCTTCTACTGCACTAGGAAACTTGAGTTCACTGGGTAACAAGTTCCCAAATCTGTGAGTAGTTTTACAAGTGTCCCTTCCCATGTCATCACTCCTAGGCCCTAGCCATGAGTTTGATGGATTTCCTCAACCAACCAGGACCCCCTCCCTCCAAAGACCATGTCTCATTCAACTGGAGAACTCATCACTTCAAAAGCATCTCTCCAGAAACATGCGGTTAGAGTCTCCTCCTGTTTCTTTCCTCTCTCTCCCCTTCTCTTTCTCAGCTTGCTGTTTCATCCCCTGACATCATGTCTCCATCCCTCCAGACAACAAACTTCCTTGTCTCTTACAGCCATCCACTTCCTGCTTTACCCACAATCCTAAGTGATGCCCCTTCACACTCTATCCCTGGGCACAGAGCCCTGCCTGCCCCTACCAGCCTATAGCAATGGAGGCAGAGAACATGGCCATCCCTGCATGGTACGCACTAGGACGTGCAACCTTTTACTACCTCCTGATGGCTCATCATAGTAACACAGCCATATGAGAACACAAGAACATGTCCTAAATGACCCACCACTATGTGTAAAGTCAGTCCCAGCAGAACACTCTACAACCCAACTCAGCTTGGCCACAACCTGTGGTCCAAGTGTTGGAAGACACCAAGAAAGCAAGACTGGAAAAGCCTTTTTTTTTTTTTTTTTTTTTGCAAAGCCAGGACAAGAGGAAGCTGGTCTTTGCATAGTAAGATAGGAGCTTTTCTGCAACTCACAGCTTGGCAGAGGGGGAAAGCATCATCCCTGAGGTTCATCTCTCTGTGGGGTGCTCTGCCTCAGTATCCAGAAATAGATGCTGTCAATATCCTGAGACCATTTTAGCCAAAGTCAAGTTACTCGTCTCAGACCTACCATGAAATTCTTCAGGAAAGACAAGCTTTATATCAGATCTAGAAATCCCTGTAAAAATGTACCCTGGCTTTACAAAACATGGTGGAGATTGTGCTTTGTGATAAGACACAGGTTCAAGTACAGGTATAAGGAATAACAAAGAAGCTTCAGGTCCTGGCATTGAAAAGACCCTATGCATCCCAAGCCAAAGAAGCCATGGGACCCACAAGAGGGGGCCAGGTGTGTACTTACCACAGGGAGGAGCCTTCGGTCCCTGTGACCTCCAGAAAGTCGTATCCGTCCTCTAACTGGAAGTCAATGAAGACCAGGGCGATGGTGTCTCCGAGCTCAGCCAGAATGGTCCATGTGCAGTCAGCGTTGTTGTGATACTCAGAAGGGAAGTGTGGGCTGGAGATGATGCCGCTCTGACCTCTCAGGGTCCCACCGCAGGCATCGTCCGCTGCAGGTACAGAGACAAGAGGATCACATGAGTGCTCGGGTTCCCAGTGGCACTGCCATACATGGTAGGCTTCATTCATGACAAGCAGAAAGGGTCCTGAAAAGGGATATATGCACACATCGGTCCAGACTGTGCAAGTAACAATGACAGCAGACCTCCACAGCCCATCCTAGGTGTCAGATACTGTACTGACAATTTCACATACCCCTGTTCTCATTCAAGAGGAAAAGAAGGCCATGCCAAAGGTAGGTTAAAGTAATTTGCTCGAGTTCACACAGCAAATGGGTAGCAGAGATCATCACTGAATCCTGATGAAGGCGGCACACGATAACTGCCATTATACCACAGTAATCCTTGATACCCACGAGAGAGAAGCCAACAGTCAGAACTGCGGGGAACAGCATGTGGCTTCCTACTAGGCTATAGTAAACCTTGGACATGATCAACGAAACCCAGAAGGTAACACAGTTCCCTAAGAAAATCTCAAAGGGCATCCCAGGCTGGACAGGACAATCTTTCCATCTTCCCTGCCCCCAGGCAGCTCAGTCCCAAGTTTTACTTTCAGACCTCCTGCCCCTGTCCTTCTACATATGCTGACTTTTTCCCAGCACATGTCTCATGAAGCTTCCAGGCCCAAATCCTTTTCTGTGCTCCCTCAGACATGGTGCTCTGCTTGTTCCCATGGCTTCTGCACACCACTGGGACTCCCCAAGGGCATAAACCTTGTGTAAGTGGTCCCTAAAGAGGGACCTGGCATTGCCTTGCTGCTCTGGCCTGAATCCCAGCCAAGATGTGACATTCATTCAAGGAAGAGGATCCAAGGGTCACGCTCTGATTCATGCATGGTACTTTAGAGCACTAGTTTTGAAATACCATAGGCCTTGGGAATAGATATGGCTCTTTCTATGCCTAGGGGATCCATTGTGAGTTGCCCACACTCTCTAGGCTTGTGCCCCTGTGCCTCTGAAGCACATGGGCTGGCTCAGAAATGCAGAGAGGAAGACCACAGGCATGTCAGTGTTCAATTGAGCCAGAGGTAACAGGAACCATCAAGCCAGACACTGTTCACTAAGCTCTTATCCCAGGTACTCTTCTAAGTACTCAAGCATATTGTAGCCCTGTTGTTCTCATTTTACAGGTGAGGAAACCAGGACAAAAAGAGACTCAAGTCACTTGACAAAAGTGACACCACTCATAGGGCCAGAAGGGCCTGAAATTCTAAGCCCCAAAACTCTGCTTTGGGGGATGTGGTCCTTGGCCAGTGTATTTTTCTGTCTTCCAAGAGTGCAGTTCATAAAATGTAGGACATTTGCTTAAGATATTGATTCCATTTCGGAAGGCTCAACAGTGAAGACATCATTACAGCTGGGTTTTGAAGGATGTATAGAAATTCTCGAGATACACAAGAAAAAGCAAGGCATTTCATGGAAAAGCATGACCATGAGCATAGAAGAAAGTACCAAGATTTGTCCAAGATAAAGAGCTCTGTGGACTCCGTATTAGTCAGCAGAGGAAAGACGGGCAGCAGCAACTGGAATATCATAGAGACTACATCCTACAAATAGCCTCACCAACTTTTGTTGTGTGGCCAGGATTGGCTATGAACCATGATTTCCCCCAATCTCTGCCTTCCAAGTAGCTGACATTGTCTGAGGGTTTCTCAGAATACTCTATCTCTTTCTGGAACCATCTTCTCTACCTCATGGGGCCTCCCTGGCTCCCCCTGCCAGCCTTTCTGTACCAGACTAAGTGTTATTTCCTGGACGATCTTTCCAGAAACAACTCCCCATCCCATGCATTCATGTTCCCATAATTACTTTCCATACTTTGTTTATTTCATATCTAGACAGCAAACTCCCTGAAAGTAGAGGCTATGTCTGCTCTGTCTCTAGCACATTTCTGGGTAAGCATTCAATAATTACCCAACACCTTTTTCCCTTATCCATCAGGCATTCAATAAGTACCTAGCATATTTCTGAATATACAGCAGGCATTCAAAAAATACCTCTCACCTTTCTAGGTATATAGCAGGCATGCAATAAGCACCTAGCATCTTTTCAGTTTCAATAAATACCTAGCATATTTCTAGGTATACAGTAGGCATTTAATAAGTAACCTTTCCAGATAAATAGCAGGTAGTCAATAAACACCTATAGCACAAATAAATAAAGAAGGAAACAGAATCACACAGGGTGTGGCTAAGCCAGTTGCAGCTGAGTGTCTCCAGCTGTAGAGATGTAGTCTAGATGTAGTTTCTGTGATGATAAGGCCTCTCTGTTTGGCAGTGCTTGGCTAAGCCATTGTAAGAGTGCCAAACTTTACACTGTTTGCCAATGACTGCTAGACAGTGCTGACACTTGTCACTCAGTGTGCAAAGCTTCTGGTCTTCTGAAAAGACATCATCCTAGCCCCCTAAGCTCCCCAGACCCCCTCACTCCTCCAGCACCATCTCCTTTGATGGAAGACGCTGTAAAAGCCATTTGGAGATTTTCCTCACACTTTAAACAAGGCATCATATTTCATGGTTACAACTCTGGAGTCATAAAATATAACCTTCAGCTGACACCACAGGCCTAAAATATTCATCGGCACTGTTCATTCCTTCTCTCAGAGCATGGGCTCTGTGCATTTTGGGGCAGGGCGTTATGCTGATAGTTGCCTTTTCAACTTTTATGGCTTTATTTACGACTGGCTTTAGGCTCTCCTAAAGTCTCTTCAATTAACCGTAATTTTAGAAAACTGTCCCTAGGTCTCCTCTGACATCTGTTAACTCTACAATGGCAGGCATTTCGGGGAGGAAGGAATGTTCATGAGAGACCGCTCCATTCCAGGCCACCTCCAGTGTGCCATCTTGGATTCTAAGGTCTTCAGCAGTGGAACTCCTGTCCACTTTTTCCCAGCCCTGGGCTCTCAAGCTCAGAGGAAATGGAAACATTCAGGGGTCTGGGTAAGAGGCTGCCATGTTACAACTCAAGTACAACACTAAGAGAGCCAATGTCCCGGTGCCTTAATGTCACAGCCCTGCTCTTTCTCTTCTACATAGCTCCATGTGTCTGTCCATGTTGGGACCTCAGGAAATGTCCCAATCCCACCTTCTAAAGCTTTGAGCTTCACACCTTCAACCTTGGCTTTATCAAAGACCTTGCTTCATCCCATTAAGAAATGAGTGTTACTGTGGAGATGTATGTCTGTAATCCAAGCTACTCAGGAGTCAAGACGCAACTGCTTAGCATGCTTAAAACCATGGGATTCAAGCTGGACAGCAATTGCTCATACCTGTAAGCCGAGATACTCAGGAGGTGGAGATCATTTAGGACTCAGTCACCTATCACCTCTGTGGACAGCCATTTATGTATTTGATTTTTGTCACTTTTCTATGCTCTGGCTGCTGGCTGAGAAGGTCCAGGAGATTGTGGGATCTGGTCTGGCTGGATCTTCACTGCAGCTCTCTGTAGTTAGGCCGATATCTGGCATACGATAGGCAGTCGGTAAACAAGAATTGAATCCATGACTGGCTGGGCACGGGAGGTACTCACAAAGCTGTTGGCTCACTGGGTGAGTGAATGAGTAAGCAATCAGCCCTGGAAGGCTGCTTAGAGACCTAGATTTAAAGCTCAGAGAGATGTAGCGGCATGCTAGTGGCCACTCCGCTCTGCGTTGGCCTATATGATGCAGAAGCCAGGCCTGTATATTACTCCAGCTACCACTCATGCCCAGCATACCTCCTGCCTCACATTCTGCAGATTCCTCTCCCCAGGGTGGCAAATCTGCAATGCCACTCAACACGAGCCATCTCAGCTTCTGCAGACTGTACGCCTGTTCCCCCAGGTCTGGTGACAGCCGGCAGTGTTTGGCTTGAATCTCCAAGGACAGTTTTCTCTTCACCACCTGCTTCTCAGACCCTAGTGTATCTGAATTCCTTCCTTCCTTCCTCCTGAGGCCTCCTTTGATCCAAGGCCAATGTCACTCACAAGTCAGAGGCCAGATGCTGAAATATACGCAGTCTTCATTGTGTGGGTCAAAGAGGTTACACAAATCCCAGTATTACCCAGGGACCTCCGCCTTCAAAAATGTGCCCAGAATGAGAGAACAAAGTGAGGATACAGGCCCTGCTTGACCCCTGTCTCAGCCAGCTTAATCAAGCTGCCACAAGCAGCATCCTTGGCCTAGGCCTCCATAAGAGTCAGCCCCTTAACCCGTTCTGCTCCAATCCCAGCTGTGCCCTCTGCCCCCGTTAGCCAGCAACTGGCATCTCCTGGATGGAGAAGATACACACAGTACTCCAACCTGCTTGAGAAGCCCTGGATTTAAAGAAATCAGGGTCACTCAGAGCAGTGGTGCAGGTGGTAATCTGGACCAGGAAGTTGTCTCTCAGGTTGTGTGCCTGTTGAATGCTGGTGACAAATTAGATCCATCCAGGCAGCTGTTCACCCAGCAAATATTTATGGATGGCTGCCCAGTGGATGAGGTCTATCTGCTCAGGGATGCCAGCCCTGGAGAGTTCTAGACTAGAGAAAGAAAAGGCCAAGAGACTCATTCTCTCCTGAATGTGAACCTCATACTGACAGGGCTGCAGTTTCTGGCACAGACTGGGCATTTGGTAAGCACCTTTGGCTGTAGGGTGGTTCAGTCTCCTGAGCACAAGTTTGGAAAATCATTTTTGGACAAGCCAGGCTCTGCAATTGAGGATGCTTGTCAAGACGCTCCTGAAGCTGTGGCCAATTAGAATAGAGAAATGGACCTGAAGGGCTGGGAGTGGGGGAAACCCTGGGAGGTGGAAAGAAAGTGAATTTGTTTTCTCCCAGCCTTTTAGCCCAGGCACATCTGAGTCTCTATCTCCCCCTCCCCCTTGGCTGCAGGGAGTCTCCAAGAAGCCCTTCTGAGAGCAAGACTTGACCTGCCCAGCCTGCTGTGTGCTCAGGTAGGGAGCTACTTCAGAGGAGATGGAATGACAGTAGAAAGGCTACTCTGGTAGTCTGGGAGTCTTTCTGGAAGCAGCTGTGCTCCATGCTAAGGAGGTAGAACTTGACCCTGTCAGGGATGAAGAGCCTCCGATGAGATCCTAAGTGATGGGTGATATCGTCAGATCTGTGGCTCAAAGTTCTCACCTGTGGGGGAAGATGGACTGGAGTTGTTGGGAGCTGGAGGACAACTGTCCACACAGTCCCTGCAGTGAGGCAGCTGGTGGCTAAGGGGGCTCAGATATCACCAGGGCCTTCTGAGAAGTGCTTAAGGCAGGACCTGGCCGGCAAGGCATAAGATACGGGAGAGATCAATATTACCCACTGTGCCCAACTTGGCTGGCTTGGGTGGCAATGCTCCTCTAGGAGCTGGGGCAGGCAGCAGAGGCTTGGGGGAAACTGGAAAGAGTTCGGGTTTAGAGATGGGCCAAGTCTGAAGCAGAGGGGGAGAGGGTTAGTAGAAGGCTCAGTGTCCTCTGGGCTAGAAGCTTAGGACAGTGAGTAACTCAGAGAAGAGTTCAGGAGATGCATGAGTCATCTGGGTGGGGTGGCTCATGCCTGTAATCCTAGCTATTCAGGAGGATGGGATCTGAGGATCCCAGTTCAAAGCCAGCCTGGGGAAGGAAAGTCTGAGAGCACCTTAGGTCTAATTAACCAGCAAAAAGCTAGAAGTAGAGCTCTACCTCAAGTGATAGAGCATCAGCCTTGAGCAAAATATGCTAAAGACAATGCCTAGACCCTGAGTTCAAGCCCCAGTACCACTGAGGAAAAAAGTTCCCAGAGTAGAGGCCAAGGCTGCTGTCTAGCATTTCAGGGGCGGAGGAGGGAGAGAAGTCAGTTAGGAGAAGGAAAAGCGTTTGGCAGGAGCCAAAAGAGACTCAGGAGAGATTTAGGGGTGAATCAAACCATGGCAGCCACTCCACACCTGTGGACTGATGTGAATACAGACCTGAGTGGTCTCACCCCACCTTGTTCTTGCCCACTATGGCAAAACATCCAGACGCTGGACTGTGGGATGCAATCAGACCTGGCAAAGGAGAACCTCCATGTCCCTTACTGCTTGTCTCTCACTTGGGAGGGTAATGAGCAGGAGGAGAACAAGGAGGAGGAAGGGGAAGAGGAGGAGGAAGGGGAAGAGGAGGAGGAAGGGGAGGAAGAGGAGGAGGAGGAGGAGGAGGAGGAGGAGCAGGAGGAGGAGGAGGAGGAGCAGGAGCAGGAGGAGGAGGAGCAGGAGCAGGAGCAGGAGGAGGAGGAGGAGGAGGAGGAGGAGGAGGAGGAGAGTGCAGTATATTCTCAGGGGGAGCTGGAGCCTCAGGGTAGAGCCAGATAGAAGCTTCCAGAAGAAGAAGCCAAAAGGCTGTCACTCATGATTCATTTCAAGTCTCTTGCATTGTCCTGAAGTCAAGTCTCTGTGCTTCTGTGTTCTGCAAGTCAGGTGCTGAGTGCAAACACCTTCAAGATTATGTTGGGGTTTTGCTTTAGTTTTCCAAAATGGATGGGTGGAGAAAACTGGACCAAGCTCCCAACTGAAGGTGGCAGAGCAGAGCCAGGGTGGTGAAGTGGGACTGTGGGTTGGAGGGTCCTGGGAAGCAAAGACTGGAGAGGAATCTGTCACTACGGGATATGGAACTGATTCAACACATTGGCCAGGGCCTCTGAAGGGAAGCACCCCTCCTTCCCAGGACAGCCCTCCCTGGGATCACACCCCACATTTTTAGTTCTGCCTTGAACATGGGGCACTAGAACACTAGGGTGATACTCCTAGTCCTTCTGGGAGAACACTGGTCCTTTTTTCATGGCCTGGACCTTGATATCATTTACTGTCATGCTGACTCTTCTGTCACCCTGTCACCTGCATGCCACCACCTATGGAGGATCACACCACTAAGGGTAACATCCCTGGAGTGGGCAGGGAAAGGGTGAGGAAGGGCTATGCAAAGGGGGTCAAGGTCCCATCTGACCCACCTGGTCATTCCTGATGCCAGTCTCCTCCACAGAGGCAGATGCGGAGTTAGATCTAAGGACCCTCCAGAGCTTGTTTCCTTCCAATTTAGCTTCTGACAGTGGGGAGGGGAGTAGTATCACTGCCTGCTTAAGACAGATCCCTCAGGAAGCCTCAGCACCCCTCCCAGCTGCTACCCCCCCCATACCCCCATGAGGCCATCTCTGGCCACCTACCTCTACAGGAGGGCAGAGGGAAGTCCCACATGGCACTGTTCTCAAAGCCAGCATGGCAGGTGAGCACGGCGTGGCCCTCCAGGAAGAAGCCGGGGTTGCAGCTGTAGCGGACTTTGTCGCCGAGATTGAAGGTGGAGCCCTGCTGGATGCCGTTGGGCAGCCTCCCGGGGTTCCCGCACGTGTGGCTGGGGAGAACTGTGAGGAGAGGGAGACCGGCAGCAGGTGAGCGGGGTCGCAGCCTGGACACCCCCACATCCTAGCAGCACCTGAGACCAGTTACCCTCTTAGGCATTTATGTCTTCTGTACCTGGGCTGGCAGATGCAGGCAGACACCCCTCCTAAAAGCTGCCAATTCTCAGAGAAAAGGTTCCACATAAGAGGGGTCAGAGGTGAAGGAGGAGCTACTTAAGAGATCTGTGATCAGACAGTGCCTTCCCTGCTTTTTCTAATGCATGGCCTTGGTTTAACTTAGGTCTGTGATGACCTAAGAGCAGCCCCAGTCCCTCGGGCATAGCTGCTTTCACTTCTGACTCTGCAAATGGGACCCTGAATACACCAGAGAGTAGTTGCTGGTGAAACTTAGTGTCCTTCCTAATGTGTGTGCTCTGCGTGGTGGCTGAGGATCCTGTGGCTGGGGTGGGGGGGGAGGGGTGGGCGGGAAGGGGGAGGTTAAAGGGACGGCTGATGCTGGAACAGGAGATCCAGAACCTCAGCCTAACCCACTTAGAAAGGGAGATTCATTCAGAGCTGGAGGACACGGTGCAGAGCCAGAATCATGAGGCAGTCACAAGTGGACCATCACTTCTAGAAGGGATGCCTGGAGACATTCAAGAGCACCCCCAGCCACCACCAGCAGTGGCGGGGGGCAGGAGGGTTGTGGGGGACACACAGACATTCCGGGTGGGTGCAGCACCCACTGCCCCTGACCCAGCTCGTGTGGTCCCTGCCTTTATCCTCAGCATTGGCCCTGTCTGTGCCCCACAGGTCATAGGTCCACCATTCCAGGACAGCCCCCCAGGACACAGATCAGCAGTGGTGCCAGCCACAGTCAGGTGCTGTTCAAGGACCTCTCTGTGAGTCTATCCAGCCATAGTTCATGAAGACTTCTCGGAGATGGAGAGGAGTGTAGAACACACACACACATACACACACACACACACACACACACACACACACACACACACACACACACACACACACACACACACACACACACACACACACACACACACACACACACACACACACACACACACACACACACACACACACACACACACCCTGCCCAATGGCTCACTTTAGGCAGGAACCTTGAGCAAGTTTCTTAACCAATCTGTGCCTCAAATAGGAATCACAACTGCACCTTCCTCAAAGGTTTGTGAAGATGGATGAGTTACAGCATGCAAAGCCTGGCCACCACTGAGTACAAAACAGGTGACCATGTAAGTTCCTAGTCCCAAAGAAGATGTGTGATATTAAAGATAGGATAAGTGTCCTACTACAGGGGCCAGATAGGGTACCAATCCCAGGTTAAGGGATGACTTCTTGGAGGAGTAAGAGATTACTAAAAATTAGTCTAAGCAAAAAGAGAAAATAGCATGTGCAAAGGCCCTAAGGCTAGAGAATATGTAGACAATCAGGGATCCTGGAGTGAGAGGATGGGGTAACGATGATGAGGAACAATGATAGGTAGGCTGGACTCTACAGCCTCCCAAAATCCTTGAAAGACACTCTTCCTGCCCATGGTATGTTGATGCCCATGGTCTTGGACCCTCTTTACTGGCCCTGGTGATCTCAGAGCCTTCTGTAGAACAGTCTTTCTGCATTGTCTTCCTCCCTTTCTGATAAGCTTCGAGGGCATCCTGATCAGAGTCTGAAACCAGGTACTGTCAGTGTTTTATTCTGCATGGTCTTGAGTCACATGACCCTTGGGAGCCTTCATTTCCTCAATGGAGTTTCCTATTCCACAGGCCGTGTGGTCTTAAGGGCTCAGTTCTAGGTGATTCATCTGTGAATCCTGGAGAAGAGATGGAGCCTCATTTGTAGGGAAACGTTTGCCTGTTCCTTCATTAGTTGTTTAAAGAATCATTCAATCATCTGTTAATTTCTTTGTACAACACCGAATTTATTGTGGGTCTACTGTGCTGGGAATCTAGGTATGAAATGGCAATGTAGATCTCTGTTCTCCAGGCTTGTATTTTTGCTGGATAATCTTGAGGCCCAAAGAGCACTTCCTTCTCTAATCTCTGCCTCTGATATATGAGATGATGCTGATGAAGGAATTCTCTTCCATCACCCCATCCACTGGCCAAGCTTAGCATTTCCTATGACCCCCGGTGCAGGCTGGTTTGGCATTTCCTACCATCCTCTGCTGCCTACCTATAGTATAGGCAATATGAGTGTGTGTGTGTGAGTGTGTGTGTGTGTGTGTGTGTGTGTGTGTTGGGGGTGGAGAGGTAAGTAGGGTAAACATTTGGAGAAGAATACAAGCCCAGGTGAGGGGAGGGAACCCATCAGGGAAATGGGCTGGGGACCAGTGTAGAACTAACGTTTCATTTTCCGCAACAAGACGCAAAGACCTAGTTTAATTAAATTACTAATGTCAAAATTTTAATGAACCTGCTTCTACTTTGGGGCTTTCTTCCTTTGAAATTAATGACTGGAACGTCACTATAAATAAAAGTCGATTCTTCTTAAAAAGTCAACTCTCAAATGCTTACCCTTCTTTACTTAATGAGCTGTTCACAATCAGACCCCTCTGGCCTGGGGACTCTCCTGGGACCAGGATATAAATGAATGGAGCCCATTCCCACCACCATCTTCTTTGGTATCTCAAGCTCTGATCCCAAGAGGTCTCCTGGTGAATGGAGAGCAGGCAGACCTGGTACTCAGAAAGATCTGGGTTCAGATCTTAGCTTGACCATTCGGGCTAAATGAACTTGAGTTGTAAAGTTTCCTTCTCTGGGCTTTAATGCTTTTTCTGGAAGCAGAGATTCTCATTCTTCCTGTAAGGGGTGTATTCGTTTGCTAGGGCTGCTGTAACAAAGTACTACCAGCTGCAAAGAACAGAAGCTTATTGTCTTGCTTTTACAGATGACACTGAAAGATGGAAAACTAGGGCTACCTGCATGCCCATCCTTCCTCTTCCCCTACTACTTCTGATGGCCATTGGCAACCACTGGTGCTCCTAGGATGCTGGGTGCATCTTTCCCACTGTTCAACATAAGCTGTTCCTCTGTATCATGGTGCCCACGTTTCCCCTTTCTATAAAGCCACCTGTCTATTAGCTAGGGCACATTCCAATCACCTCATTCTGATGTGATCATCCACAAAGACCACATATATTTTGAGGGGACACAATTCAATCTATTAAATAGAGCTGCTGTGGAGATTAAGATTTATACTATTTGAGTACCTGGTAGGTTTCTGGTTGTGGGCTAAATGTTTATTTTACTTATTGCCCCCACCTCAAAGAACCTGTAGGATGTGTGTGTGCGCATGTGCATGCATGTGTGCGTGTCTGCCTCATTTTTGCAGGTGACAGGGCTAGGGCACAGAGAATTTAAGTAACTTGCTTCCTCCCAGGCCAGGCTAGGAGACAGCAAAAGCTAGGCTGGATTCTTTCCAGCTCTACCAATCAGCTCTTTGATTGAAAGTGACATTCCTTCTGATGAAGGCAAAGCACCCCCCCCCCACACACACACAGTAGGTATTTTATAAAAGAAAATTCTTTTCCTCCTGTGTCCTTCTCAGACAGCCACAAGACAGTCATCTGATTATCCATACTTAATAGTCCATTTGGGCAGCCCTGTACTTTTTGAATAAACATCAAGGGTAACATTTCAAGCGTGCCCTTTTGTTGTGTATCTAATGAGCAACTGGCTGGACAGAGGTGGAAGATTGGAGATAAGCCACAAAGCAAATCCTTTCTAAGGCACGGCCTTCTTTTATTAATTTTTTTGTTTTGTCCATGTGTTTTTCCGCAGCAATATTATAACCGTTCATGCTCTCCTGTCTATAAAGCTTCTCTTTGATTGCTTACAAAATGAAGAGAGGATATTTACATCCAACGCAGCCCAGAACGATATTATTAAAGCTGTGCCTGACATTGAACAATTCCACTGTAGATTAGCTGTGGGGAATTTTGTCCCTTCTACAAAGCCCAGCTCGTGCCAATCAACGTAACAGTTTCTGTGATTGTATGACAATGACTCTCCTCTGTGGCTTGAGTGCAGCTACATCAGGCCTTGTGTTATTTTTAATTTGAGACTTTGGTTCCTGTATTATAATGAAGAGTCATTTACGCTCTCTGGACAAGCACCCTCCATATGTTTTGGCTTCTTATCTTCCATCAAGGAACTCCATTCATCTTGGTGGCCATATGATGGATGCAAAGTGGTAGGAGTGATGAGAAGGATTCAGGCAAAAGGAGCTGGTCTTCCTGTAGCCCCTCCAAGGAAGAGACTGACAGAGCTGCATGTGTGCATGTGTGCAAAGATCGGGCATAAGCACACATATGTATAAGTATGTGACTGGGAGTGAGTGGCTAGGGCTGAGAGGGAAGCATTCCAAACACTACACATGATCTCGCTCCACTTTTACAGTCTTGTGTCCTCAGTCATTGACCTCTTCAATTTAACTTATTAGAGACAGACATTGGTGGCTCACATCTGTAATCATAGGTTCTTAGGAAGCTGAGATCTGAGAATCAGGATTTGAAACCAGCCTGAGCAGGAAAGTCCATGAGACTCTTTATCTCCAGTTAACCAGTAAAAAGCTAGAAGTGGAGGTGTGGGTCAAGTGATAAAGCAACAGCCTTGAGCAAAAAAGCCAAATGAGAGCAAGAGTTACTGAGATCAAACCCCAGAACTAGTACAAAAAAATTATATATAATTTGTTGCAAACTTACTCTGTACCATCCTCAGCATTAAGCATTTTGCATACAGTTCCATTCCTAAACTGCCAACTGAATTTGCTGTCTCTGGTTCTTCTCTGCTCCTCTCTGGAGGGATTTTTTTTATTATATGATACATTTGATATATATTACCTATAAATTTAACAATACCTGAATATATGCTTTATAATAATGATATATTCGAATATAAAGTTTACTATCTTCAATTAATATAGTAATTTATAATACATTAATTACTTGGAATGCTTATGTGCATACCAAGGAAGACAGACAAATGTAG